ATTTAGTGGAGACGGGTCATTTTGACCCGGAGGACAAAGGGTGTATACAGAAAATGAGGACAACAGGAGGGTTAAACTTCAGTTGTACAAAGTGAACTCTATGATGCTCTTTTGTTTTCTGAATGTTTATAGAGTTTTTATTTTGTTGTTGTCCTGAAGCATAAATGTTTGTGTTCTTGCAGGAATATAAGCCATACATGTTCTGGATCAATATGATCGATGCCTTCTACCAGAGTCTGGTCTGCTTCTTCATTCCTTACTTTGTGAGTTTGGATTTCACCATCCTCTCATCTCAGTATTTACTTTTGTTTTTTACTCATTGTCTCCTCTGCCTTCACTCTGGTCTCCCATTAAACCCACCACCTCCTCCTCCTTCCCACCCCAGGCCTACTCTGACTCAGACGTGGATCTGTTTACATGGGGGACTCCCATCACCACCATAGCTTTACTCACCATTCTGGTGCATCTGGGCATCGAGACCAAAACTTGGGTAAGAAACATGTTTGTAAACTACCTGATGACAACCATTTAAGGCTGATTTTATAATCCTGGCTTCATGTTGTTATGAGGTTGGAATAATTACAGATGTTTCTGTGATTTCAGCTGATTAGATCAGATCAGTTATGGAGTTGTTTTCTCTGTGCAGGCTCTCCGCAGACACATTCAGCTCATGTTTCATCCCTCAGTCTCAAACACCAGCTTTTACTTGATTCCTCTCATTCTCACTTTGCCTTGGTTTTATTTTCAGGTGTTTGTACTTCAGCAGCCCTTATCACATTACCTTAATGAATCTGTCCCTTCCATTGTTTTAAGATGTGCGTTTGTCTCGACAAGTTAAACACAAAGAGTATTTTCTTTTCTTTTTTTCTTTTTTTTTTACTATTAGACACAATTTCCTCTTATCATAAAGGGTTCAGAGAGTAGAACTGACTAAAAGTCTTTGACAATCTGCTCTGGCAGGTGTTTATTGTTCTCACCATCAGTGAGGTATTTTAGGTGAAAACACTCCTGTCTGCTCTTCATACAAAACCTGTAAAGCTGTAATTAATGACCGCTTTTGTTCAGGAGTACAGTCGACTGAGCCGTTATACGTTTACACTGTCAGATCAGCCAATCAGGAAGAAACTCAGTTACTTTGTGTGTGTGTGTGTGTGTGTGTTTGTGTGTGTGTGTGTGTGTGTGTTTGTGTGTGTGTG